TACTGCCAAAGTAGTTTCTCATATTACAAGATATAGGCAAGAAATAATAAGTAAACAACATAGGTACAAACATTTTTTTTTTAAAGTCAACAGAAAATTGAAATACACTTTTAAAAGTTTCTACTACTAGAAGATATCATACAATGTCTTTTTTTATTTTTTTATTTTTCAAAATTTTATTGATAAACAGATAGCAATGAGACAGTTTCATCAAATCGGAAGTACAGTTTCAACAAATAATACACTGCATATATTCTTCTTAGTGGTTAATTGCTGTACAACATACAATGTCTTTTAAATAAATCGTAAGTCAAAGATACAGTATAAATCTTAGAACAAAAGTTAAGATTAAGCAATATTCAGAAAATTAAATGTTTCGAAACAATTGAACTAAGAAAAAGTTTTCATGATAGCAAAGAAGTACTAAGAGTAAAACATAAGATAAATACTGGAATTTCAAGTAAATGACCAGCACTTCTAACAGTTTGAGGATAGGATATCGCCCAAAGTTCTAGTGTGTTGTGGACATGCATAATGACCGTGACAGTTACTGGTGGCTAGACGATGGACATCAAATTTAATGAAAGCTTCTATATTAAAATTCTTAATATAGTGTCTCTTACAGAGTAGGCTCTCAAAAATTACAGAGGTAGCAAATAATATTAATAATAGAAGAAGATAAGAACATGATTGAGAATGTACATAGTCCTTGCTCTCCTAGGAGATAAGAATGTGAGTAAATCTGAGCAATTCAGCCTCTACAGTATTTTATCCAGAGATGTCAGCTTGACTGCAGGGATTATGGGAAATGGATTCAATAAAAGTGGAGAGGTGGGCTACGGGCAAGCAGAAGGCAGAATCCTAAAGAATTAAAGGTGAGAGTAGAAAGAAGCAGTTGGGATAGAGTCCTGTACTATTGTTTGGATGTAGGTTTGAGTCTCAAGCGGTAAGAAACTGCTTTGATGACTAAGAGGGGGTGAGATGAGAGGACAGTTGAGATTGTGAGAAGATTCTGGCAATAGGGTAGAGCAAGAATAGTCTGGATTAAGACAGCTGCAGTGGGGATAGAAGAGAAGCTAAAGATGAAACATTTAAAATATTTAGGATAGGACTCTAGCTAATTGAGTATTAGAGGTCTGAGCTGACAGTCCTCTGACATGAGCTGGGGGAGGGGAGGAGGAGGGTAGTCTGGTCATTATGTGCAGTAGGAATCAAGAACAGGTGGAACTATGCCCTAAGGAGTTGGATATTAGTAACATATGAGTGGATTTAAGTGGGTGGGTCTTGGAGTAGGAGACTTACAACTTTAGCATCAGAGCCCATTGGTTTCATCCAGAAGACAAAGGGAAGGAAGGAACAAGAACAGAATCCCAGAGGTACAGGTTGTTCAGTGGCAGGCAGGTGAAGAATCAGGTGAGGAAATTGGAAAGGAATGATCAGAGGAATAGGAAAAGAGAGAAGAGCTGCATGCAAAGCTAAGAGAAAAAAGCCTCAGAAACATGGGAATGAGTTGTGCTGCCCAGAGACTAAGTGGAAATAGGCCCAAAAAGTATCCACTGACTCTGCCTGTTTGAAGAAGGCATGGCACTGCCAAAGGAGGTGTGAGGAGATTGCTATATGGATTTTTGCCTTGGGAATTTGGGAGAATACTGAGTGTGACTCATCTGCTTTTGGGCATCCACTTACAATGGAATGTCTTCTCATTTTTAGGAAATGGGGGTCTAGGTGGAAGAAAGGCAGTGGAACTTTATTTAGAAAAGTAAACACCTTTCTTACCTTATGAATAGGTTGATTGGTATAATTGAATGAAACATTAATATGTGGAATTTGTCATCAGAACATAGTAGCTGTCATTTATTAGAAACATTTGCTGTGTTATAGGCACTGTACTGAGAGCTTTATATACATTTTTTATTCATA